AGTTTTGTGTTGTACACTTCACAAGAGCGGAGCGCGTTGTGCCCGTCACAGCCACCAAAGATGAAGATGTTGTCTTTCAACGACACTGCAGCAGCGAATTGTCTTCCTTCATTCATGGGTTGAACGAAAGTCCAAACATCTATAAATAAGGGATATGACATGTGAAAATGATCATGGTGTCAACAGTCATACACGGGAGTTCATAGTAAGAAATTTGTAGACAGACGGGATGCTAAAGGTAAAATGTACTTCAATGCACAATGACGTCTACACGTTAACCCAAGTTACGAGTTCCATAAGACAAGTTATGTTAGATTCGTATGTATTTTTAGCTGGGGAAGACGAATACATTAACTTCCAAACTTCCACAGCAGAGTATGGTTTTTCTTTTGGTTTTACCATTTTGATCAGCCACACTTTTTTTAAATAATGTGTGTGTTTGACATGCACTCTACGAATCAACGTGTATGAAACAGATATTTTATCGGTACAGTCCCGAAAAAGCTCACAGGACTTCGTTATTAAAAAGGACTTAGTTGCTTAACAACTCAAAGTTCAGAAGTTTTAATTCAGTTTTTACAGTGCAAAGACTTTAACCCAGAGCACCAATATGTTTTAACCAATCGCAACACGAGAATTTGCCGTTGTTGTTGATCGGACCAATTACGATGAAGCACACGAGTGTTAGAGGTTGGAATTGCTGGTTTTCAGTGTCACGCAATTCAAAATAGATCAAAATCAAAATCAATCGTGAATTTATCCCTCGAGGAACTCTAAAACATTAAAATAATACTTTTTCTAAGATATAAACTGTTCAGACAGCCAAATTCCCCGAAATAAGTCACCTTTTTAACCATCATGAAAGCTCTCTAGGCCGTGATGTAAATGCCGAGTCACGCAAAAGCTTAGAAATTCAAGCGTAGTGTATCACAAAACCAAGAACCCATTCGGAGCGAAAATTTGTGTCAAAATTAGTTTTCAGCTGCTCCTATATATCATTAAAGTAAAATCTCAGAAAGATCAATAGTTTGGTAGTTTGAATTTTAGTGACGTCATGTGAAAACCAGCTATAGATCATTTTAATTAAATATAGTCGCTTAATAAGACACTAGATAATTCCAAAACCAATGGTAATACCAATATGAAATCGGCGCCAAAAATTTCAGTCAAATTGACTGCATGCAAAAATAACAAACCCAAAATCAGTTTTCGATTAAAATCTTTCTTGCAGCGATTTGTTGACAACTTTTGGAAAGCCTTCGGGTTGAAGACCTTGCACTGTGAAAGGCGCATTGTTATTAACAATACCTAACAATTTGATCTGGCGTTCCAATACTTCTGGAAAACTGTCAAATCATTCTAATCTGCTACTTGGCTGATTCGAGTTATGGACCCGCTGAGCTATCGATTTTCTTTTTTTCCACTTTTTCAATTGCAACTTGTACACGTCCACAAACAAATATGGTCATTTTTGACTTACCTTTAGCTATATCATAGCATTCCACACTGCGAATCACGTCCGAGATAACATGTGCGTTTGGAGTTTGAAATCCGCCAATAGCATACACATAGTCTCCTACCAACACTTGACAGTGACCGGCTCTGGGGCAAATCAAGGAAGTGAGCTGTACCACACTTGAAGGGACATCTTTAAGTTTAACAGAACAAACGTGGGATATACAGTTGTTCGTCCTTGGATCCAGCCCTCCCGTCATAATGACGCTACCGCGGCCAGTGAATATTGCACAGAATGAATCCAGCTCCACATCCTGTACTGCGGGTTGCTGATCAATTGCATCCCAGGTGTTCTTTTGGCCGCTAAAACGTTCCACGAAAGGAACTAAGGGATCTCTGACACAAACGTCTCTGAGACCACCGATGGTAAAAAGCTTGTTCTCCACGCTCACCATTTGAAGCCTGAAGGAAAGGAATAAACTAACATCACAACTAGCAATATGGTGTAAATCGATAGCAAAAGAAATAATAGCCACCAAACTATAGAATCACATGCCATATCTCTAGCTAGTTTTCAGTTAGTTTTTATTATTTTTTTTGAAATGAAGTAAGCCCTTTTCTTCTTGAACATGGCTGAACGCACCTCGCCGCCGCTATACTAAAGTCGCGTCATCATTTTGCCAAGGAAATCATAGCAAACTAACGTCTGAGCAATTGCTGGAAAGTTTGTGATAACTCCTCCGCACTAAAAGCAACGGCTAGCGGAAAAATAGTTTTAGGCTAAACTGGAATAGCTTTTGTTTTTTAACCGGACACACTGTTGACATTTCAACAATTCCTGCTTTCTTGATAAAATTCGTGCTGAAAATTGAAGTCTGTGATTTACCCCGAAACAGGCAAGCTCAGCTAAGCTCAATTACCTCATGCTACATTTTTATCAGGGAACAGCACTCTTAGCAGCAGTTTTTGGTTTTGTTACAGTAGCTGAATGTCATTTGTAACCACCAATAGAGTCGAAAAATCTTGCATTAGCTTTATAAATTTTACTAGCTACTTTTGTTTTATACAGCCACTAATTTCACGTGATATGGAGTGTTTTCATTTGACGTCACGGCAGCCATATTGATGTCCCAAAACAACGAACAAGCGACCATGTTAGAGTTTCAAACCAATCCTGTGAGAGTTCAACTCTTTTGTTATCTGAACACTTTCTTTTGTTCCAAAAAAGTGTCGTGTTCGCTGGTTACGGGAGTGAAAACGCGCCATTGTCGATCTAGCGAAAACTGGATTTTATTTACTATCAAACTTATAAAACCGTGCACACCTAAAGTATGTCTCAGTGGAGTGTGCATTGTGTTATAACCAATTGCAAGCGAGATCTCCAGAGCACAGAAAGATAGAAAACGGATGGGTTTCCATCTGGTTTTGGTATTCGGGAGACTCTCGGATAATCCGGGAGAGTTGGCATAAATGCGAAAGTCTAAATAATGGCTATTCTTTAGTATCCGTTGTATCAAGAGCCACATTCCGTCCATGGTTTGAGGGATTTCGGATTTGTGGCGGTTTTGCTAGGTAACAGAACCCTATCGAGGGGTTGCGAGCAGAAGTTACTTCTTGTTTGCCACCGAGAAGAAAAGAGAGGAAGTAGCGTATTTGTAGTCAGGAAATCAGCGTGACCCCGCTTTGGATGATTGAGCTGGCGGTCGTACTGATGAAAATAGTTAAAAATCTCTCAGAACCCCTTCGCTAGTGTTTAACCAGGATGGGTAAACAATTATGTCAATTCCTGTACAACTAAGATGGAGGAGACCCAATTAAATTTGTTTCCTGACCGATCGTTTTATCCATTTTCTGTGGTTTACGTTGTCTGAAGATCTCGCTTTGTGATTGGTTATAACATAACAACAAATCCACCCGGCATATTTTAGGTATTCGCGGCTTTATAAGTCTGATAGTAAATGTGGGACAGAAAGACTACGAGATTTTACGATACCTCCATCGAGGGATCTTCATGCGTGACAGATTCATCCATTTCTCCACAGCAGGAATGAAGCAACATACACTGTCGAGGATGACTGAGTTATCACATCCACCTGCCACCACAATCACTTCAACACTTCGGCATGACTTTCTTGCGATTATTTTGCCAACTTGTCCGGCTTGGGACACTTCTTTAACTCTTGGGAAAAGTGTGAGTTGGTTCAGTTTCTCTCGATCTAAATTGCCTTCATTGGTTGGCAGAGAGATCAATGGCAGCCGAATTAATTTCAACAATTCAGTAAAATAGTCTTTTCTCACTTCCGGATTATGGTTGATCCAATCTTTAACGATTTCAAGAAGTTGCTCTTCGCTTTCAATTTGTATATCGTCACTGGACAGAAATTTGACAATATCCTCTTTTGCCAACTTTAAAAAGGTTTCTGTTTTGGCAAGTTCGGTAAACTTTCGGTTGATATATTGGGTCACTGTTTGAGTCAGACCATTGCAAGAAAAAGCGTCAGCAATCGTATGAATCGTAAAACAGTTTTCCATGTCGACTGTGCTCTCTAGAAATTGACAACATGCTTTCTTAATCTCGTCTACGAAAAGAAAGTTGGACGCCTGTAACAGTTCAAACACATTTGCCAAGTCAATTTGTATCTGGCCTGTGTACATGAATTCCAATATGCTTTCCATCGCTGCTTTGCTAACACTGCTCAGAGTGACTCTTGCCTTGTCCTTTTCCAACATTTCTGCGGTAAACATGGCTAGAAAGAAGCTGCTGTTAGCTGCCAGAATACCCCTATGGGCTGAAAACTCCTTGTCATCCACTGTCAATTTAACATCACAAAATATTCCTGAAAGTCTCTGTGTGTTCAATGCCGTTAGGGTTTTGCTGGCATGGCCTTGTATTTTGAGGCAAGCTGAGTTGTCTTCGTTTCTAACAAGTTCCATGTTCTTTACTTCAACAAATCTGTCTGGAAGAATTAAGAAGTTATGTCTTAATTGAACAATCTCAGAATGAATCAAATGATGTTGCTCTTTGCGCCGTTAAATAGTTACTGTTTCTGCTCCAGTGGGTAATCTGACAGTAAACAATTTAGTGGGCTGGGTATGCTAATATGCGTTTGTTACCCAAAATAAACCTTCCTATTCATTGCTCGGGTTTGATACTTATAATAGGTCTTATGAAGTCCGGTTTCAGGGGCACAAAAAAGAAAAAGGCTCACCGAAATATCTGCAAAAAGGGCTTACCGAAATATCTGCAACTCGAGAAGGGGTGTCACTGAAAGGGAAACTGTATATTCTGAAGTGTGAATTGGTTTGCATGACTTGGTTTGCATTAATGAAATTTCGGGCATATAACACATTGAGTACCTCGAAACAGAAAAAATCACTCAGGCATCAAATAATTAAGAAACATTATTTTTTAAAGTGTGATCCGATAGATAGTGAACCCATTGAAAAAAATCTGCAGTGCCATACTAATTTAACATGTAAACGGCCATACTGTATGTTAAGCTTCTTGTAACCTCATAATATTGACAATAGATGCATGTTTGACATAGAGCTGTGTATTAGGATTACAGCAGGGGATTCCAGTTTATACTCAATCGCAGTTATGTCTGAAATTAATCGTGTCACTGTAGCGGACATCATATCAACGCAACTAGGAAAGAGGACATATCAGAACGTATAGTTTCTTATTACACTTTAGTCGACTTTTCAGTCTACAAATTCTACACACGCTACAAAGGGAAGCTGTAAGGCCGTCTTTCGGCTTATATAATTCAGCGCTGGCTTACCTATCATTAGTCCTAATTTCCCTGTCTTGTCGGAAGAGCTCACGCTTTACTACCTGTGTTCCTTGAAGCGAAGCCTGTAACGGACTATGCAATCCTCGACATGTTTCGTTAGGCTCTTTCATTAAAGTACGTAAATGATCGTAATATCGTAACCAGAATTTTATTAATTTGATTGTGACGTGTTCATTGTGTAGGATTGAGTTTAGACCTGAGATGCAAGCAAACGACAATCAGATAGCGCGCATGGTCTGCATGGCTAGCCAGCGTAGATCCTTACTGCGCGCCAATTTCAAGTAGGGACTGATGTGAGTATTTTGATGACCCTTTCGGCTGCAGGCTAGCCGAAGTTCTTTTCCGCAGTGTCAGTAAAAAGGGCTAGAAAGATGTCACAGGCACATACTTTGATAACTTTTCTAGAGCTTTAATGTGACTGGAAATATTGATCAATCTCAGAAGCACGTAAATAGAGAGGGCATTAAAGACGAAATATGGGAGCATCATCATACAGTGACGCTAATTCGCAGCAACGTATATATAAACAAACACATAATCGAGAAACCGCCCTTTCCTGAGCTTCTTGCTGGAAGGAAGTCTATTTCCCACTTCGTTTTACCATGTCGTCAAAACTTAGTATGCTCGCTAAACCTTTCATATAAAACTTTTCATATGATAATGAGTTCTATCCGCAAGTTTACTTTCATATGAATCCGACATGCCGTGATATATTAAGCCCCGTATTAAGCCCCTCTCGATATACAGGTCTTCCCTCTGGAGCTGTATTTCTTTTACTATGCCCTATCTCTCACTGAATGTAACAACTACTAATTCGCCACAGCTACTTTGTCACTTTTTGGTGGGTTTGTTAATATATTGAGCCAAGATTAAAATTCCCCCCGATACCTTTTATATATAAGCTTACCCTTGCTGATTTAAGGCCCTTTGTGGAATTTACTCCTCTCTCTTCAAATGTCTTGAAAGGAATCACTCCTCATGTGGGTTTAATGGGTTTGTTATTGGGAAAATATTAAGGTAGTTACCTTGGAGAAACTGAGGCGTTATGCTTCACAAAGTCTGGAAAAGCGACATAAATCTCTGTTTGATTTGAAACTGGATATCAATTTACCGCAATGCGGAAAGAAGATGTCGTGATTAGTTTGGCACTGAGGTTATAGGTTCGCATCTTATATTTGGCAAAAGTACGCATTCATTAAACAAGTGATCAAAGATTTGAATTAAGACCCTTTGTGGAAGTAACGCCTCTTCGTTTAAATGTCTTGAAAGGGAGTACTTCCTGTGCAGACTAAATAGGTTTCGTATTAGAAACAAAGTTAAGGTTATGAGCCAGGTACATAGCCTAATGTTATTATTGTTCTCCACGGGAAAGATTGCGTAATGAGCCCAAAGAGTAGGCGGATGTTAGAAAGCTGTGCTTGTCGATTGTTTAGTAGGCCGGTCTCACCTTTTGGGTAAATAAAGAGGAAAGAAACACAATTTTCAAAATGATTCCTGTCGAACTTGGACCAAAAAGCCTTTCAAGAACTCGAGTTCAAGGAATTTAAGAATCGCAAACGCAGTGGTTACGTTGATCGCCAGCAGGTCAGATCGATTGGCCGAAATTTATTTTTCTTCGGAATAAAGCTATTCATTTTTAGACGTTGATGACAACTGTGAATGAAGTCAACAACGATAAAACAAAGGTACTTGATGAATTATTTTCGTAGTGTTTCGCTTGTTTGTTTTACTGCCGAAGTCGATGAGTAAATTGATTCGCAATCGATGTACGTGTAAGCTTATTATTAAAACTACGGCTGCATACGTGTATACAAACCAACAATTTCCTTTGCGTTTTTATGCTTTAGTCCATTATTCTGTAGTCCTCTTTTTTCAGCTGTGAAACAAGAGAGAGTAGAGAGGTCAATATTTTACACTTAATGTATGGTCCCGAGGGAAACAGTTCAAGTAGTTTTTTTTTTCGCGAGAGTCCTGATGTTTCCCGAGACGAAGTCGAGGGAAATATCAGGACTCGAGGGAAAACAAAACTAACTAGTTTCCCGAGGGACCATACATTAAGTGCTTTGTTATATATTTTGACTCTCCCTTAAACAAATATATAGCAAAAACAAACAAACAAAGACGGCACAACTTCTTTATTCACAATCGTCAATTCCGCTGAATGAATAAGTCTTAACTTAAGCTTAATTACAAATGTTTCGAAGTACATGAAAAAGTAAAATATGCTTTCATAACCTCAATAACGAATACAAAATCATTTGGAATTGTAAAAATTGATGGTAAGATTTGCTCCAGAAAATGCTCCTGCGTTAAAGTTTACAGTCTCCTGGCTATGAGATACGAAATTCTGCCTAGTCACAGGGGAGTTTGGCACTGTGTTTCTGCCAGGAGAATTT